ATATATATATATATATATATATATATATATAATTGCTTTTGTTCTACTATTTATATTTGTGAAATCTATTTAAGAAATTTTAGTAAATTTCTTGATTGAGGTAAAAAAATTGATTGAGTTTCTTATGATAAAGATAATGGATATGATATTATAAGAAAATTCGAAATATTATTAAAAAAAATAGTAGATAAATTCTATTAAACTTTTTCATTGTAGATATATGTTCAAATGTTGTTTGTAGTAAGATGACTATTTAACCAATGTTAGATGAAACCTAGTAGTTAATATACCTTTTATCAGTTTCTTGAAAATAAATATTTCACTTGCCAATGCAAGTATATATCATATATTTTGTATTTTCAAATTTAAAATTATAAATTACAAAAGGAAAATATTTAAAATTGAAAAAAAAAACAGAGACATAATTAATTTAAGCATTATTTTAATTTATTCAAATCATAATGATAGAAAAGGTAAGGTTAATTAATTAATTGCGAGGAGTATTATTAATAAATTAAAAAGATATTTTAATATCATAAAAATAATAAATTAAGAGAATAGTTAATATTTAAATAATATCATTGCATGCTTAAAATCATTTACAAGGAATGAAAATACCTGCGCGAACAAAGTTTTGTTTAAAGCTTTAAATAAGTCTAGGGCTTCTTTAAAAAAAAATCCAAGACAAGATTCAAATTTGGTTTATTTTTTATCAAAAAAATTTACCATTATTTTGGGTTACTATTATCAAATGAAGACTTTAAAACTTTTGTCTTCGTACTAATCTTAATCATCTTGATTATCATAGCTTTCGAATTTTACATATCATTTATTCGTATCAACTACCACAAAATTGAATATGGGATTGGTTGAACTGAATGTTTATATTCGTATTGAACCACTCAATCGTCAAAATTATCGAAGGGACGAGTCGAGCTTATTCTTATAACCTCTTCGCCTCTCAAGGATGTTGAAAGTATTGATTCAAATGATTCAACTCTTTTGACCACTAAAGGTGTTGAAGGGTTGCATTTATTTACACAATTCCTTCGACTACCGAAGATGTCGAAAAGATGGGTTAAGAAACTCGTTCATACAATTCCTTTGGGCTTTGGCTATTAAGGATGTCTAAGGATCCAATTGTTAGTTTCAAATTTCTAAATGACTTGTTGGATATATTTACTTTTTTCTTTTATTTCATTTTTATCTCTTTTTATTTTTACCTCTTTTTCTTTCATACTATATCATACATTATAATTATTACTGTCACTATTTTCCTTTTCTATTTTTTTTCAAAATATATCATTTATTATATATATTACTTTTCACTCTTTTTCTCTTTTTATATATTTTTCTTTCTATATCTCTCCCCTTTTCCGCCACAATCCTCCACACGGGCTGCACCATAATCACGACTCCCTAATTTAATATGTTTGATGGCTAACAGTGCCTAACTATTTAATAATTTTATAAAGACTTTGGTGATCTTGACAATAATTTTGCATTGCCCGTGGCTTAAAATACAAAAGACAGCAAGCATGTCCTGATGCAAATAAGATTTTAATATTCAGCTAACAACGTACTGTACGTATAACATTAAACAATTTGAATATAAATAAATAATTAGTCAATTAATTTTAAGAAGATATTAGTTTAATATAATTGTTAAAAATTATTACTGTTATTATTTATAAGATTATCCAACAAATTATATATGTTTAAACATCATACAATGAACAACCTGGCCTCAAAATAATACCCGAATATGGTAACTACAAAAGGCAAGCTGCAACGTACATTTAACTACCAGCATAGCTTTAACTTGCAAGAAGTAAAATTTGGTAGTGGCTATTTCGCTTCTCCAAACAGTCCATGTAATTAAACTGTATACAATGGAATACATATTATTATTATTATATATTTGTTCAAAGAGTGGAGTTAGTAGGAAAAAACACTACTCAAATGGTGAGTAGAAGCAGAAAAATGAAGGTAGGAACTAGGAATAGGGGTGTTAATTAATTTATAAGATATGTTTCAGGAAGCACGTAGTTGAGAGGTGAGAGTGATGAATGCCTCTTCTTTGCAAGGGATTGTGAGACCTCCCATTGGATGATTGTAACCAAATTCCTCCTCTGCTCGGTGTAGCAAGTCAAGAAATGAAGGATGGTTCAAATATGATATTGGAACCACAAACCTTTTCTTTTGAGCCTCTCCAACGTACACTGCTACGTGACCCTTTGGAACATTAATATTCGACTGGTTTCTACTATGTAGATGCTGGTGCCACTTGAATATCTTGTTCCCATGAAGAGCCATAAATATTGGCAGACGAATACCCATGAAGTGAACGCAATGATTGACTTTGAGAGTGAAGGGCGTGGTGTTGTGGTACTTATAGTGATATTACAAAGTGTTAACACAGAGTGGGAAGCCATACATTTCCAGAAAGGATGATCCAAGAATAGATGAGTCCAAGTACTAGTTGGAGCATGGACAATGGTGCCACAAAACTGAGGGCCCACATCATGAAATTCACAAAACGCTCACATGGCAGAACTCACTCTCTAGTGGAAACAACGTGCCGTACACTGAAAACGAAAAAGGTCACATCACACATGTGATGCCTTAGCTAGCACAAGACCCATTCATAAGGGCTCAAAAACTTAGGAACGTCAATGCAATATTTATAGTATTAATTAAATGTAGTAACTAATCACATATCCGTACCATATGCCCTGAACCTCTCTTTCTGCCTCTATCTATTATAGCTGTCTCTGTCAGTCTGTGTATATAGGATTTACCATATATATTCTCTTCAGAGATACAATCACAACAGTAGTATTTAGATATAGATAAGCCAATCCTGACTTATTTCGTTGGCTTAGATGATCATCAACGTGGTACAACAATATACATACAAACTTAAACTATCATGTTTGATTCCACCTTGGATTTTCAAAAAACGCATAAAGTACGTGAAAATATTACCAACTAGCAACAAAAGCTTAATCTTCCATTCATTAAGAACAGATAAGTTGTATTATTTAAAATGATAAGAGAATCGTCATCGAGAAGCACAATATATATGCATGCATAGTGTCAGAACAAGGGCGTGGGTCTCTCAATCATGGCGGTATGTGATTGACTGCAAATGAGTTTAATCATTGTGTGAATACCATGCCAGAACTAGAAGTAAGTAGCTTCAATTAGATTTTTAGCTTTGAATCATATGTCACAGTTCCAATTTGGTACTCTGCATAGTTATTTTACTTGCCCACTGTTTTTCATAGAGAACGCCCTTTCTTGACGTTAGTGGCTTGATAAATGTTAAGCAATATCACAAAATTCGTCAATCATTAATGGGTGGATTCATTAAATCAGTTTTTATTGCATGAATTTTTGACAATATTTGTTTTGGTTTTTGATGAACAATATATAATCCTTTATGATCCTTCGATTATGGCTGGCTGTAGACGGTAGTAAAAAAAAAGTTGGATTTTTTTACAACAGTAAAAAAAAAGGTTATTTAAATTTTAATGACAGAAATATATTTTGGTCTCTTAAATTTAGAAAAAAATTATTTTTATTTTTTAAATTTAAAATTATTATTTTTAGTTCTTATGATTTTTAAATTTTTTTTTAATAATATATGTAAAAATGACTGGTTGAGACAATTATACGATATCAACTAGATTTAATATAATATTTTCATAAATAAAAAAATTAATAGATAAATTTTATGTAACAATATTTATAAAAAAAATTAATAAAATTTGAATACAAAAATTAAAATAAAATATTTTATGCAACAATATTGTAGGACGAACATTTCAGGACGGGTGTTTTAGACATTTTATGTAAACTCAGAATACAAATTAAAATATCCACACATTCTATAACGAATTGACACGCAAATAGAAAATTCACATTTTATGTCGAGTAGTTAACATACATCATAATAATAAGTACAAAATATAAGAATTTAATATATTAACACCCACGTAGTATAGTCATACTTATTATATATAGAATATAAACATTTTGTGTGACAAAAATAAATAAATTTATGTTAAATTTAAATAACTAAAAATATATTTAAATTTATTATATTATTTTATTTTTAAATTATCAATAAATTAATCATAAAGTCAAATAATATTATATATATATATATAATATTACTTTATCTTTATGTTACATTTTTTTTATTAGGGATATATTCTTGTCATTTAATGTACATACTTTTTTTCTTTTTCATTTTTTATGCAATCAGAGCACAGGACAAAAATTTTGATTCCTCTTTTTAATTTTTACTAAACCACTTTAATAATCCTCTTATTTTTCATTCTTTTCTTTTTTTTTCCCTTTTTTCCCTTATTTTATTTTTCACTTTCTTTTCCTAAACAAAATATTTTATTATATATTTTATTTAGGTCCTAATATTAATTAATAAACAATAAATAAAGAGGTTTTATATCTTAGACATTAAAGTTCTTAAGTATATCCATCAATTACTCTTTTTTTTCATTGATGCAATGAATTTTTTTGTAAGATTTTTTTTATCTTGAAACATGATTCACGTAGTATTCAAAATTGACAATTATTTTATTAACGTCCTAATTTATTTATTTTTTTGTCATTTTTGTTTATTCCGATTTTATTTCCTTTCCAGTTTTAGTTGATGTACTTTCTATTTCTTTCCTTCTTGAGTTTTAATAAACAGTATTTTTTAAGGGATCTTAACCTCCTACTTTTTACCTAAATATAAATGGCTTCATCTCTTTATATGCAAATTGAGAACTTATTTTTTTATGAAATGTAAAAATATGTTCATTAATAAAAAAAAGTTATAAATATATCCTAACTATCAAAATTGATTAAACTAAAAGTATTTTTAATATTAAAAAAATATGAAGTAAAAACATAAACATATTTTTCAAATTTTAAAAATTTGAAAATGTTTTTTAGAAAATAAAAATAAAAAATATTTATCCAAACCAATTGGAACCTATTTCGTTCTCTTTCTTCTCTTAATTAATATTCAACTAGTTTTTTTTTTTTATCTAAACAAAGTGAGTTCCGTACTAAAACAAAATTGTACAATAACTCATACGCTCTGTTAAATTAATAAAACTTTATTATATTAATATACAAATAACAATTTTTTTCCATGTCATTTAAGGTGTTTGTTTTTGACAAAACTCAAAATGCAAAATTGCAAAAAGGTCATGAATCATGATGCCAAATATATAAACGCGGGGTGGGATTTTGTCCACATGCTTCATCAAAGTTTAACATATATATACATTTAAAATAATGACAGCATAGTCGATTTCATCGATACCTTTATTTAGAATTTACATTTATAAATAGTTTTGGCCTTTACTTATAAATTCTCGTATACAATTTCCCATGAAAAATGTTTGCGTAATGCTTTGTTACTTTGTTTAATATTTAGTCAATGTTTTACAATATTATCTACTACATTAGCTTCTCTTTTTTTTTCTCCACGGATAATTTTTTTCTAGAGACAAATAATGTTTGAAATATTTCCGTATAATAAATATAAATTTTGTGAGACCCCATTCCTTCCGCAAGCCCCTTCCACCCTTATTCTCTTTTCTTTGACTTCCCACTTGCTCTCCTTACCTTCTTCTCCTTTTCTTGATATCTCAAGGTAGCTGTGCTGAGTGAGCTTGGATTTTGCTAGCTGATTTTTGGAGTTCTCTCTTGTTCTTCCGTGTTCGTTCAAGCTCTCTTTCGTCTTTCTCTTCCGTTCGTCCCGTCCCGGAGCTCGGATTTCTTCACCGAGGTAAGGGAAGGTAGTCCTTTGCTTTGTTTGGCCGAAAACGAGTTCTAAGAACTCTTTGATGGTAGGGTGTTTGCTGCATTTGAGCTGAGAACGGTTGACATTGCTGATTTGGGGGCCTTTCGGGTTTTTGGGGTTTTTGAGAATTTTGGGGAAATCCTTGAATCGTGATTGCATGTGAGAAATGAAGTGTTTTTATTGATCTTTGGTGAATATGGGAACTTTTGGCTGGATTGCATGCTAGTTTTATGTTGTGTTTTGCAGGATTTTGGGCAAATTTCGAACTTGGGGATGGTTGCTGTTGAATTCGCGCTGGGCGCTGTTCTTCGCGCCGGGCGCGTGACCACCAGGGGACTCCATTTAGGCGAGCCCGCCGGGCGCAATGCTGTGTGCGCTGGGCGAGCTTGCAAATGGGAGTCTCTGGTTGGCCCGCGCCGGGCGTGACTTGGGCTGCGCCGGGCGCGATATCACTGGTGACATGTTTTGGGTACTATGGAGCCGCGCTAGGCGCGGGGTTGGACCCGCTGGGCGCGGAGGCTCTTTGGGAGTCTCTGCCAAGAGGGCGCTGGGCGCAATACGAATTGCGCCGGGCGCGAGACCTTAGTAGGTCTCTACCTTCCCCACGCTGGGCGCGGGTTAGGCCGCTGAGCGCACGAGACTCCTTGAGTCTCTGCCAGGCAGGCGCTGGGCGCAATTTGGAATTGCGCCAGGCGCGTGAGAGCCTTGGTGCTCTCGGGTTGAGTCTCGTCGGGCGCGAGCACTCTTGCGCTGGGCGTGATGGCCCCTGGTGCTCTCGGGTCGGGCCGCGCTGGGCGCGACCTCGAGCACGCCAGGCGCGGAGGGGATATTGAAACATATGCTGTTGGCTGTTGAATTTTGCTGAACTTGTTAATCCATGTTGTTATGTGCTGAGCTAAGTTGTATTTGATGAATATGTTGTGATGACTAAGTGATAAAGCCGAGATAATAATATTTAGCTGTATTAGAGGTGTATGGTTGAGCCGAAATTGATGAATATGATGTGATGACTAGCTAAAATTGTTGTTTGAAGATGTTGAGCTGTGTTAGGTGTATATTGCTGTAAGATGCTTAGATGTGCTGTAAGACGATAGGCTGTGCTATTAAGTTGAGCTGTGCTGAATGTTGTTCATGCTGATAAACGCTGCCAATGTCGTGTGATAAAAAGTTGTGTTATGCTGTATGTTGTTAATAATGTAACGCTGAGTTGTGCTGTGTGATGCTAATGCTGAACCTTGTTATTTGAGTCGAGCTGAATCATATGCTGATAGTTGTTGAATTATGCTGAAATTGCGGAGCTGAGATGTAATTGATAAATATGTTGTGCTGACTAGATGTAAATGCTGAAAAATAATGTTAAGCTGTAATAGATGTATATCGCTATGCTGAGCTGGGCTGTTATTGATGAATTTAAATGCTGATTTATAATATGGCTATGCTCTAGAATGATGAACTGAGTTGTGAGTAATAAGCTGTGTTGAAGACTACTTAGCTGTGTTGTATGCGGATTTTGTTGTGTTGTGCTGTGCTGTGAGCTGTTTTGCTATGCTGTTTATTGCTGAGCTGTATGATGTGTTTAGCCACTATTGTGGTGCTGTTATAGCCGCTATGTTGGTGTTGTTAGCCACTATTGTGGTGTTGTTATAGCCGCTAAGTCGGTGCTGTGCTCCGTGCTGATAGTGCTGATAGGAGCTGTTGTAGGCCGTAAGGCTGATCTGTGGTAGGAGATCTCCGAGCTGATATGTGTGACGACGCATTGTGTGTTTACTACTATTTATCGATGTGTACTGTTGTTTACCCTTCTTATTGCTAATGGATGTTCTGATAGCGGTAGCTGTTTACTATTCTTAAATTATATATTTGTATGTTGTTTCTTTTCACTAGCTTACCCTTGTTGTTTCCATGTGGTTTGGACTGCGATGATCATACTATGTATGGGAGCAGAGCAGGGATAGGTTGGCGGCTTGTGGCAGGTCGGTAGCTGACAGATAGAGCTTATTTCTTATGGATGTTTTGGTGTTTTAGCTACTTGGGGTAGTAGCTCTGAATGGATTGTTGTACATTTTGAATCTAGTCAGACTTGGACATGTATATATGTATATTCTAGACACTATATGTATACACTTGTTCTTTTCTGTCCGGTTTCAGGTGTACGGTGTAGTGTGTAGTGACCAGTCGCGTCGTTACAAATTTTAATATATAAGTAAGTCTTAAATTTTGAGAATTTTAATTAGATCTCTAAAATAAAATAAAATTATAATTAAATCTTTAATTTTCTACAATTTTTGTTATTAAATCTTTAAAGGTAATAAAATTACCACATATTTTCTTTTTAGCGGTTTTATATGTCGCCATAAAATTAATTTCAAGAACTCAATTATAAAAATTCGGAAGGGTGAAATACTTAATTATATTTTTTATAAAAAAAAATAGAGATCCAATTAAAAATTTAAGAATGATGTATTAAACTTAAATATAAATATTACATTTTTAAATAAAGATTTAATATATAAGACATTAATTAACTCTCATTAAATAAAATCCTTCTAATTTAATATGTTGACGACATAATAATTAAATATTAAAAATGATCTATTTTATGAAAAAAATTGTATTCAATTTTTGTTGTGTATAGAAAATTTTTAGACAAACAACAATTAATTACAATCCTATGAGCTGGATTAGGTTTTATTCCAGTGAACTGAGTGGGAAAAAAATCCTTAGTTACGGTAAATCTTTTATATATATTGGTGACTTGATCATTTGTAATCGTAAATTAAATAAGCAGACATAAAAGAGTAATATATATATTTTGGTGGCATGCAGTACATGTACACGTCTTGAACTTTCATCGTACTGATCAGATAGATGCCTATATATGTATGGACAATATTCAAGGCTAGCTGAGATATGAAGCAGACTGTATATTAATTTTTATTAAGTTTAATTTCAGCTAAACATTAGCTATAGTAGCTAGTAGTAGTACTGTCATTGGAGAAAAAAAAATATTTACTTCCATATTAAATATTTGAATAAAGAAACAATAAATATATTGGAGAACAGTGGGTTGAATTAATAAAAATAATAATAAATAAATAAAGATCAAAATAAAATAAATAAAAGAGAGAGAGAGAGAGGGAGAGAGAGACAGAAATATAAAATTTCAATATATTTTCATGTATTTTATGAAAGTATCGGGGAACATTTATTGTTAATAATAAGTGCTAGTAGGCTACTTAAGACAAGGTTAAAAAACCAACAATCTAAGCAAGTGTTGTTATTATTATTATTAATCGATATTTTAGGCCTTTCTTAAAAAATTGTATTTTATTATTTCTAATGTACAGGATAAATGTTATTTTTATATAATGAAATTTTATAATAAATAAATAAATTATTTATTTTATAATTAAAATTCAATATAAATAAATTTTTTGAATAAATAAAGTATATTTTAGACTTATTCTAAATAATATATTGTGATGCACTGTTATTTTTTTATTATTAACAACTAGTATTTTAGTTTTCACAATACATACAATAAATATTTATTTTATATAAAATTTTATAATTAATAGAAATTTTAAAAATAAATTATATTTCAAATTTATGATAAATAATTTATATGACAGTATAATATTATTTTAATTATTAAACTATGAGTATTTAACATGTGTAATACATATAATAAATATTTTTACATAATTAAAATTATAATAATTAAATATTTTGAATATGTAAGTTATACTATTGTTAAAATTCATAATAAATAAGTATTCTGAACATACACATTATATTTTGTATTTTTAATCATTAATTTATTTTAAAATTTTAAAATTTTAATTTAAAAATAAAAATAAAAATGATATATTAAAAGAGACATGTGGTTAAGAAAATCAAATACATACATACATACATATATACATACATACATACATACATATATATATATATATATATA